TTTTGTAAAAGAAATAGTATTCTAATGCATACTAAGTGATGAATAGATATATATATGTATTAATGCAATGAAACACTCCATCATCTTGCCGACACCAAAACTATATATTTTTTCTTCATCATATTCATCTTCTTTTTATAGTTTTTTTTTTCTTCCTTCAATTCTTATTCATTCTATTTGATTCATTATTCTCAATAATGTATGCATCATATGAATGAGTGCCAACTGTTGTTATGTAATTCTTAACAACGATGTAATGTATGATTAAGTGAGTAATTTGGAATGATTTGAACGTAAAGCATGTAAGATTGAATCAACAATGGCCCCGGTCCGAGGCGAACCGAGGTGAAGAGCCGTGATGGGCTTTTACGTGTTGCTTAGTAAAGGGTTTACAGTTCGGTAATTTGGAGAAAAAGAGATCCCCTTACAATTGTCATAGGTTCGCTATTTATAGTAATTTCGGGTTGATACATTGGGATCTGTGCATGACTTTTTGGAATAAAGTTACTTTTTGTGGGCGGTTTGAGGTAGGGGTCCCACATAAATGATGACGGATCTCGTGGAGCTGGAGGATCACACGTAGGCGCCTTGTCACCTACTTAAGGAGGTGACGACCTCGGTTCATGTTGACCTCGGTGTATGTTGACCTCTTCGGTCTTCGGTAGTTCGGTTCGGTCCGTCGCCTGAACCGGGGTGGTGTATGTGACAACGTCGGTTCAATGATCATCTTCCTTCTAATATGTTGTCTAGAATTCCTTAATGCATGTTTACCGATCCGGATGTTAACAGAGAGGCCCCCAACATCGAGGGGCATACGAAGTGATGGTCGTTGATGTTGCTATGTCTGATATGTAGAGATCCTGGATCGGTAAGAAGTTGGCGGTAGAATGTGGTTTGTGGTGTTCGGTGGGTCATCTTCGGTTTATCTGCCGATGTAATCGAAGTGAATTATCTGTCCGAAGTGTAGACTGTATACCGAGGTGAAGACACTTGGTAAAATTTGCGTAACTTGCAGGCAGCTCGGGCAGGAAAAAGACGAACAGTCGTAACGGTCAATTTAATGTGAGTGAAGGGTTGCGCCGTAATGACCTTAAATGAGGTAACGGTCGACTTTAATAGGACGCCACGTGTATCTGTAGGTGTCTGTGTAGGCGAAAAGGTGGTGTCGATTGGAATCAGGGGTCGCGTCGGTTAGACGCGCCCCTAATTAAAGTCTCTAACGGTCGTGAATTGGCAATTATAAATAGGGTTTCGTGGCGTCTGATCGAACTTTCTTCACTTGTGCTTTCATTCTCGAATTTTCTTATCACTTATTAGTTGAGTTCGTCTGATATTCTGAAGAATCTTCTTCGCTTGCTGAGTGAGAGATTTTCGGTAAGCTTTTCCTTCAATTTCTTGTGTTATTTTTCTTGTATTTCGTTCAATCGTACGATGGCGTCGAAAGGAAAGGGAAAGGCGGTGGCAAGTTCATCGAGCACGGAGTCGGTTCCGCTGGATGTTTATCACGATTCGGAATTGGTCGAGTTGGCCTTTGAATATCACCGGTGGGACCCGTCGTTGGTAAGACATCTGAATATCCAGTTAAACGACGAGGATGGTGACGTGGTAGTTGAGCATAATGCAACCGACCTCGCGGTGCCGCATTGGAGAAGACCGGTGAGGAGGTGGCCCGATCCGGCGATCGATTTCATTGGTGAGCCAAGTATTCTTACCGACGCTGACGTCGTCATGTTGAGGGAACAAGTTCGGATTCCCCCCTCAGTGAAAATCTTTGCTCCTTACCCCGGGGAGAGAATAACAAGTCCCCCTCCGGGTTGTGTGGGCGTTTTCGCGGAGAGTCTGAGGTCGGGATTGAGGTTCCCGTTGCCAAATTTGATCACGGAATACCTCCGGAGTTGGGAGTTGCCGTTGTGCCAAATCACGCCGAATAGCTGGAAGAAGATAATTGGACTAATGGTGTTGCTGCACGAGAGGGGTGAGGGATTACCGTCGTGCGATGAGATGAGGAGTATTTTTGCCTTTAAGCAAAGTCCGAAGAGGAGGGTGGCCGAATCGTCTTGCTGCTTCTTCGCCGGGGCAAAGCCGCAACACGGTATCAAAGTTGGGGAAATTGTTACTGAGATTCCGGAGAGTCTCCACGGTTTTCAGGAGGAATGGGTGTGGATAGGCGGAGAATGGCAGTCGGTGGATTTCTTTCATGAGCGCCGAATTGATGGGATGACAATTCCCATGTTAATTCATTCCGGAGCCAGTGAGTTTTACTTTATGTTTTGTCAATTCGGATATGCTTGTCTGATTCTCGTATTGTTCTGTGTACTAACAGGTCGGAACTTTTACTCTGTTGTAGAAAAAGAGACAAAGCAAAAAGAACCGAAGTTAAGCCCGGAATTCGGTGGGAAGTTGATAACCTTGGCTGGTTTGGATAAAGCAGAGAGGGATTATCGCAAGCTGGTGGTTGATTCGAAACTTGAAGCGGCTGGTTTGTCTTTGGGAGTCACGACATCGAAATTTGACCCCGGTAAGAAAAGTTTTAGCCAGTAAAAATGTCGAATTTTTCTAGTATATATGACACAACTGTTTGTAACTCTTGTCTCTTGTTGATATGCAGTATATTATCCTCTCCTCGGTTTCTTGGGCTATAACTCTGTCAAGGAAGCCAAAGAGTTCAGACGCAAATTTCCGAATAAGGACCTTCAATCTAAAGTCGGTAAGAGCCGTGATCTGAGGTTAAACGACGCCATGAGGAGGGATCTTGTTCGTGCGTTGGTGAAGAAGACAGCTGGTCAGAAGAATGTTGGGAAAAAATCGACCGAGGTGGGGTCGAGTGCTACCTCGGCAGCTATGCCGGAGAGTCCAAAGTCTGTGCCCGAAGTGGCGGCTACCGAAGTGTTGTCGGTAGTAGAAGCTGTGGCGATCAATCAGGCTGATCCGGAGCCAATTATTGCCGGGACCGAAATAGTTTCTGCGGAGGTTGCCCACACCGAAGTGCCACCAGCCTCTCCGAAGTCGCTTGAGTTGGAGCAACCAGAGAAGAGAAAGAAGAGGAAGCTGGTGAAGATGGCGGATGTCGATGCTTCGTCCGGGGTGGAGAAAAGGTCTAAGAAAAAACATGACTCCGGTCGTAAGGCGACCGAAAAAGGTACGGATGATTCTCCCCTGTTTGAGAAGTCCTTTTTAACAATTGATGAAGAACGGGCTGCGAAAGTTAAAGTGCCCGAGGGTGTGGTGGAAGATTGGTTTTCCACTTTCTTGTCGGTGAAGTCTCCCCATATGTCGTCGAGGATTGAAATGCCGGAAAATGCGAAGGATGCTGCTCGGGTCCC